GAATCAGTCAACACATTCTCCAGGAACGGTCTTACCAGGAATATACAAAAGACTATATGTAAATATGGTGTACACTTTCTTGTTTCAATACATTTTGTTCTAAGTACCTTTTGTGTTGCATTATTATTCCGTGTATTAGTCAAGTTTCAACAATATATATATATATATATATATATATATATATATAACAGAAATTTTAGAGATTTAAATTATTTCACATAATACTTCATCGAATCTAGAACAAGAATCCTCAACAAAATGCAGAAAACCGTTTTGACTTTTTTGGTACTTATCAGCAGTGCACATCCACTACCGAAAATCAAACACGGACCGTTATATATATATATATATATATATATATATATATATATATATATATCGTACCATCACCGAAGTTAAACAAGGTCAAGCTTGTTCGATATCTAGACGGATGACCGCTTGAGAATACAAGGAATCGCAGAAGTGAGTTTCAATTCCAGCTATCTTCATTATATTCTCTTACGCGCAAATACCCTTGTGAAAGGTATTAATTCATCGCTTCTCCTCCAGCTATGGGTTAATTAGTAAAATATGTTATCACTAAACAATTATTATGTCCAAAAATAAAAGTAAATTTGCCTACAAAATTGTTGTGACTTAGAAAAGGTTACTGAATGAGGAACAACGAAAACGGGGGTTGGAAAATAAATGGTAATCTTTATAACATCAACAAAATACAATACTCGCCAGCGACGTGAAGTAGGTAAACCACTGCTAGTAGTGAACTACTTAAACTAAACAGCATATTAACTCCCCCCCACACACGCTTACAATATTGTCTAATGTATTTATGAGGATTAGGACATACCCATTAATTTTCATAGGTATGGTATATAACAAAAATATTTTGATTTCAAAATTAAATAACCCATAGAGGTTTTGTTATGCCGCTAAACAAAAATAAATAGAATAAGTGAGACAAGAGAGAGGGAGAAGGATAAAAAAAATAAAGTTTCCCAGAACAAGACAAAATCTCGTCTTAGAGTGCCATTTTATGTTTCAGCTCCCTCTGTCCAAACAGAGTGGGACGAGACGTGCTGATAGCAACTGCCTCTAGGATGTTAACATGGTGTTTCGTCCGAGCTCTCCGTGGCACAGAGAAGAAGCCCGCTGATTAATTGTACCCACAAGTGTCAGAACACAGTAAATGCTCCCCGACAGGCAGACTCATGGGCCAGTAAGTGCACGGATGCTAATGGAACATGTCTACGTATAAAGGCAATACGCACCTCCAGCCGTTGGATAGTCTTATTCTTAAAACGATAAATAGCAGAACTCTGTGTGTGTGTGTGTGTGTGTGTGTGTGTGTGTGTGTGTGTGTGTGTGTGTGTGTGTGTGTGTGTGTGTGTGAATTTCTCAGGATAAATCTGTAGGGTAGACAGATTGAATAAAATAGACAATCGGAAAATAGTACTTAGTCCTTGCCGACGCGTTTCGTCAATGGACTTTTTCAAGGCAAGTGATGATAGTCAAAACATTCAAAGTCAAAAATTTTTAAAAGACGCTCATGTATAAGCCACGTTTTGAATATTAAAAATATTGTTTTATCTAAGTGTGTGTTCTGGTTTTCCCTGTCGGCAATGTATTAAAAATTTTCTAATTGCTAATGTAACATGTCTACGTATAAAGGCATGAGCGTCCTATGCAATACGCACCTCCTGCCGTTGGATAGTCTTATTCTTAAAGTAATAAAAAAGAAAACTTTGTGTGTGTGTGTGTGGAATTTCTCAGAATAAATCTGTAGGATAGACAGATTGAATAAAATAGACAATCGGAAAATAGTACTTAGTCCTTGCCGACGCGTTTCGTCAATGGACTTTATCAAGGCAAGTGATGATAGTCAAAAGTGAAATGTTGGGTAGTTACATGAAATTAAAAAATTTTAAAAAGACGCTTCTGTGTAAACCTCGTTTTGAATATTAATATTTTTTTTGACTAAGTGTGTGTTCTGGTTTTCCATGTCGACAATGTATTAATGTTCTCATAATATATCTGTAGAGAAGACAAATTGAATAAATATAATATAAATATATTATACTATTTCAGAAACGATTGATATCTGTAATGATTTTCTATGTCATAGCCAGATATCTCCACCTGCCATTTGTGAAAATATATTTGTTGAGTTAATAATATATCCTGTTACGTCAGTTGAATTTAGTTTCAATGACATACTCTCTAGGCAAATTGATGGAGTCTCTATCGGATCAGTCCTGAGACCGACTTTGGCAAATATTTTTGTGGGTTTATATGAAATTAATCTATCTTCTGGAACCGCCAAATCGTTAATGTATCATTGTTACGTTGATTTTGCCTCTTTGAGAATGTAATGGAGGCTAAAAAATTTTTTCTTACTTATTGATATGCGTCCAGCATTAAGTTACACAATAGAAATTGATATCAATTCCACTTTATCTTTTTTGGATGTTTTGGTAACTAGAGTTCCATCTGGTTACATCACATTGATTTACCGCAAACTAACTTTTACCAGATTATATATTCGGTGAGATGCATTCTGTCCCAACAAACATAAAGAAATAGACAATCGGAAAATAGTACTTAGTCCTCGCCGACGCGTTTCATCATTGGACTTTATCAAGGCAAGCGATGATAAACAAAAGTGAAATGTTGTGTAGTTATATGAATTTAAAAAATTTAAAAAAAGACGCTTCTGTGTAAGCCTCGATTTGGATATTACGTTTTATTTATTTATTTATTTATTTTGCTAGTGTGTTTTTCTCCATGTCGACAATGTGTTAAATTTTTCAGATTTATTCTGAGAAAACGAACACATTATTGACATGAAAAAAGTTACTAATAACCAAAAAAAGACAAAAGGATCTATTTTAAAAGTTTTGAATTCAATGCAAACTGAACTAAATTGTGTTAGTATTAAAAAAGATATAATCCATGTCTACGGCAGAAAGAAAGGAATGTTCAACAGAACAATTACCTTGAAAGTATTTATAGAAAAAAACATGATGAAGATACGTTACGGTGCTGGTAAAGTGACTGAAGTCGAGATTCCAGGTGAGGACCAGTAAAATTGCAGATTCTTATTTGGATTTTATTAAGAATGTCTAAATATATAGCAGGAGAATCGCACTAGGTTATGTCACCAATATTCAAAGCAAGTACGAATGGTAGACATTTAACTAAATAAGATAGATTCGAACGAGAAAAATTGTCTAACACGACACAGTCAATCAACTATCCTAGGTGCATATCTAGCAATTCATTCAATATAATCTTTTCCAATTCTTGTCAGCAGAATATATATATATATATATATATATATATATATATATATATATATTATAAATTAACTGATTTAAAATATGGTTATTTCGCTACACAGTTCTAAGCATGTTTCAAAAATGGAAGCTAAAAACTTCGAATTTAATTTTGTAATTATATATATATATATATATATATATATATATATATATATAATTAAACCTAAAGAGATAGATAAACCTACCTACTGGAGCCAGTGATCCCTAACGATCCGCGAAGGTGAAACCTTGATAGGTTTATCTGGCTCTTTAGGTTTAATTAGGTTTGCTCTACTTATTGAGCACTTAGTTATTTTACTTACTCGTACTGTTTTTTTTTCTCTTTGGACTCTGAACTTCGATGCTAGACGATTCTCTTCGGCTGACGTACATGTTCTCTGTTCTTTCTTTTTTTGTACCTTTTTTTCCCCTTCGGCATTGGTCTGTTCATATATATAGGGTGCGATGGATAAATTGTCGCCTAAATTACGCAGAATTTAAAGTAATACCGACATCTCATTTTAACAGATGTATTTACTAAACTTGCACAAAAAAATATCTTGAAATACTGAAGAGCCAATTTATTCAGTAAAATCACCATTGACTTCAACCACGGCTTCCAGACAACTGTAGAATCTCCTGCGTCTCTTCTGGGCGTTCTCCTTGTTTAAGTTGGTAAATGCTGCCATAATCCTTGCCTTCAGTTAATCTTTGACGTTACAAGGAGATTTGTTGTTCTCTCACTCAACTGCCCACCACCCACGCATAATAATCAAGGGGTTGCAGTCTGGGAATTTAAATGATCATGTGTAAGGGTGATGTGGTTGTAGAAACTATCTGATATCCTTGATTGAATTCGCTAGCTTGTGTGGCATGATGCAAAGTCCTGTTACCAGACATAGGGTTTCCAGGAAACACCTTCACCCAGAGCAGTACTACCTCCTCAAGGCCCTTGATGTATGCCTTCGCGTTGATTCTGAGGCCTTCACCAACAAATATGGGAGTTCATTTCTTATCAGAATGATCACAGCCATTAGACTCATCCAACTCTCTCAAAATCCTTTGCAAGGTCCTCAGAAACCCAAACAATGTGAAATGTATTGGAGCTTCCGATGCAAATGCCAAACAGTACAGCATGTATTTTTCCAAATTTCTTGTGGAGTGATTTTTATCATGGTGCTCTTTTTACTCACAGACTGTGCCCAACAGACGCTGTTATACTGTGCAATCGACAGAATAAAAAGCAAAGAATGCGCATGCGTGAAATTAAAAATATAGAATGGCGACAATTTATCCATCGCACTCTGTATTATAAATTTGATTAAACTCAACAGGCAAGGATTGTCACAGTTGGAAAAGATAATTTTGTGAAGTAGAAATTTGTTGTTGTTTTTTTTTTTATTGAAAAATTAAACTGAGATTTAAAAAAAAAAGGAAAAAGCAATTTCCCAAAAGTAAAAAGAATTGATTTAAGACAAGAAAAATCTCGAAGATAAATTATCATTTTAATTCAAGGCCTCTTTCTAAATTTTGCTTGTCGTTTTTATTCACGGTTTAATCGGGCTGAAATCCAAAGTTCCACAAAGCCGGTAATTAAAACAACTTCTTTAATTAACTGAGAAATTCCTGGCCTATTACGTTACTTTATTTCATGAGGACCACGGATAATTCATTTATGATTATTTATTATCTCTTCTTTCGCACAAGAGATAGCTGGGCAGTTATCACTAGGGAAAAAGAGACAACATGCTTCGCCGTATTATCACTGAAACTATAAAGGAGAATAATTTCATTTCTTTGTAGCCGATTTTGTTTTGTGTTACTTTAGAAGGTCGGTTGATTGATTGATTGATTTTGTTTAGCGGCATATAAACATCTGCTTGGGTTATTTAAAACTGAAATCTAAATATTTTGAACGCAGTTATATGCCTTCAACTACAGATGTATTGTGCGTAATTTTATGCCTTCAACTACAGATATTTTGGACGTAATTTTATGCCGTCAACTACAGATATTTTGGACGTAGTTTTATTGCTTCAACTACAGATATTTTGGACGTAATTTTATGCCTTCAACTAAACACAGTTTGTACGAAATGTTATACATTCAGTGTAAACGTATGCATTTTATATGCTTTGGTATAAACCTATTTGTTTAATGCACGACATTATGTTGACAGATTCAGTATTTTCAAATAGTTTTCTCATATTTATTTCCTTGTAGTATGGGAGTCTTAATGGGGTAAGTGAGTACATTCAGTTAAAATATCTTTCATTGTGATTTAAAAGTTGTTTTTTTTTTCTTTACCTCAGAACAGATTGCAACCGATATGTTGAATTCTAACTTATTTAGAAAGTGATTTATAAACTAGAAGCCAATTTTTTTCTGATTACTATGTGTTATTTAATGCCGAAATCTAAATATTTCGGAAGAATTTTATGGCTTCACTTAAATATATTTTGTCCCTGTTCTTCCCTCCGTTCGCACTAATTAAACTGGTAGGGTACTCATTGGTACTCGTTTCCCGGAATACCTTTCAATAATGTAGTCACGTAGATTTGCATTACAGGGATGTCCGCACATATTTCCTCTTTCAGGTCATTTTTCTGGGTAAAATTAAAATTAAAGGAGGCTATGTTTATTGAATTAGGCGGATGACCTATGATCTGTTTTGTAATTGATTTCTTAACAAGGGATTCTCTAAATCCTAATCCATTATCTTTTTTTAACCATTTCACCCAAAACAAGTCGATAACACTACTAAGATGCAAGGTGCTACTGAGAGGGGTTGAAAGATAATGAGGAAACTTTATAAGGAAGCGGAAGCCCAATCCTAGACCAGGAACAACGGATAAATCTACTTCCATTCTAAAGACCGTAGTTGGTTGGTTGATTTTATTTAACGCCATATCAACAGCTGCATAGGTTATTTAATGCCGAAACATTATGGATGCATGCATTTGGTTTGGTTGATTTTTTTTAGCGATTTATCACTCTATATCGGAAGGCAGAAATCTAAATATATTGATTGGTTTGGTTGATTTTATTTAGCGGCATATCAACACCTCTATGGGTTATTTAATGCCAAAATCTAAATATTTTCATTGGTTTCGTTGATTTGATTATGTTTAGCGGTATATCAACCGCAATAGGTTATTTAATGCTGAAATATAAATATTTTGATTGGTTTAGTTTGGTTGATTTTGCTTAGCAGCATACGAACATCTATGGGTTATGTAATTCTGAAATATACAAATTTTGTTTAGTTTGCTATGGTTGTTTTTGTTTCGCGGCATATCAACACCTCTATGGGTTATTTAATGCAGAAATCAAACTATTTTGATTGCTTTGGTTTGATTGATTTTGTTTAGCAGCATATCAACCTCTATGGGTTATTTAATGCCGAAAACTAATTACTGTGAACACAATCTTATGTCTACAACCAAATATATTTTGAACGCAACGTTATGCCTTCATCTACAGATGAAATGTATTGTTGGTAATTCTACCATATCTAATCATTGTTACTCATTTTACTTTTAAAAAATGTATCATTGTTAATCTTACTATAAAAAGGTATTGTTGATAATTCCTTTTTATATAAAAATGTATTGCTGGTATTTTCATTATAAAAATAGATTTTTATACTTTTATTGTTCTTTGTTTTTGTTTGGGCGTTCAATATTTCCCCATAGCTGGGACTCTAATAGGTGATACACCCTCGGTTAGGGTGAGTCTGAGAATAAAGAAGTTCCATGCTCCTCAAAACCTCCAATCTCCCGATCAGAGGGCTTGCTACGGGATGTACTTTATCTTCATACTCAGAACTACAAAAGACTGTGGAGGGGTGTAAACAGGGCCATAGGCCAACCTAAATACTCATATTGAGGAAAAATAGTATATAAATTTCCAGACTTTAGGCAGAGTCGTTAGAAGTATAGAGTTGAAGCGAACATTGGAAGAAACCGGAAATAGAATCCTAAACAGGAAGCAAGGAATACAACTCCTGTTCAAAAAACCGAGAGAAGTGTGAGACTGAAGACTGGATTATACGCAGAAGCATTGTCATAGTGATAAATCCAATTGTTAGATCAAATTCTGGTACTTACACTCCTAACAGATTCTTGCAACGCATTCAGGATGTCCAAATAAACATTTATATACAGGGTGTAAGAGCAAAATTGTCCAAATCGTATAACAGTATCCATCCCACAAAATGTTTAATATAAAAAAAAAAACAGGTTTTTAGATGAGACGTTTCGCCATCTCCACACCATTTGTCGTAAGAATCACTGAAAAACCCTTTGAGTTATTCAGCTAAAAAGAGAACAGGTTAAAATCATTTTCCGTCATCCCCACTCTCTTCCCAAAGGTGCAATGGTGAGAGGAAAAAGATCATTCAGGCCTTCAGTAATGGGACGAATATTCAAACTCTGGCTTCCATCGTCAAAGTCCGTTCAAGAACCATCAAGAGAACGCTGAATAAGTTTAAAAAAGAGGGAACACTAGAGAGGAAAGCCATAACAGGAGATTAGAACAGGAAGAGGGTACATTATTTCGAGCTAAATAGATCAATTAGAAAAGATCTAACTCAATCCATAAGACGTTTGGCACGTGAGAGGGGAGTTTCAGCTATGACATTCCAAAGGGTAGTGAAAAAAAGAATTGAAAATGAAATCATACATGAAACCTGTGAGACACACCTAGTTACTCCAGGAAAAGAACGCTAGAAGGTTAGATAGGGCGAAGACCATTTTTTAAGCATCTCACCCTAAGCTCGGCGGTATGCAACTAGCACAGAAGATTGGGATTGGGAGCGAGAGTAAAGAAGTTTGATAAAGGAAAGGATGAAGAGAAGGATAGGGCATGAAAAAGTTGGAAAATCATCCTGAATACTATATATATATATATATATATATATATATATATATATATATATGTCTGTACGTTTATATATTGGATCGGATTTCCTACATTTTTCAACCGATTTCAACAAAACTTAACTTTTTTTTTTGGCAGGTAGTGTTTCTTATTGTCTTGCACACTTCTTTATTTTTACATTCAGAATGCTTTAAAAATTCCATTTACAAGACAATTGTTTCTAATAAAATTCTATTCAATCGGTAGACTCATGACGAATGAAAACAATGTTTTTGTTTGAGTTTGACCAATTCGTAAAAAAAAAATAAATAAATAATTAAGACATGCGTATCCGTCAACCTTAAACAATAATCTTTGTCAATTTTATTTTTCAGTCTTTATGATGGTCGATACTTGATCTATCTCTTACTGTTATATCCCCGGGCAACGCCGGTCTCTACTGCTTGTATATCTATAAGTCTTTTGTGTGTAACAATTGAGGTACAGTGTGCAAAATTTTGACATGGGACGCACAAAAGCCCTGACCCCATTCACGTCCATACGCAAGAAGTTACAGCGCTGACAAACTACAAATAATCCACTTCCCTCTCTCTCTCCCTCTTTCTCCCTGTCTGTCTGTCCGTTTGTCTGTCTGTCTGTCTCTCTCTCTCTCTCTCTCTCTCTCTCTCTCTCTCTCTGTGAACTACAATCAAATTAAAAGGAGTGATAGAAAGTAGACACGAAAAGAAACAGACACAACTGCAAAGTAAGAAAGAAAGAAAGAAAGAGAGAAAGGGAAATAGAAAGGGGATAGAGTGAGGAGATAAATATGTCACGCAAAACTTGGCCATGGTTTATAATTTATCTCAGCTGGAATAAAAACTTCACATAAAGTTATGTTTCTTTGAGGTGTCTTGCATTGTGGGATCGATTATCACTAGCGATGATGTTCTCATTTCTCAGCTGACTCTCAAGAAAACCCAAGGTGTGTCACAAAAGCGCGCGTAAAAAAGCTATATATGTGTATACATACGCACGCGGACACAGACATTTATTTCTAAAAGAAGTAATGGAATTTTATTTATTAATCCGACATATTTTATCCCTTTAAACGTTTTACCCATATTTAAGTAAACGCTTCGTTTTTTCTTTCTTTTCAAAACAGTATATCTATTTTCGTCCACTGACCAGAAGATTATTAAAGAATACATGCGCCTTCCGACAGCATCGAAGCTAAGTCCCCTTCTGCAGGAGAAAATGTCGTTAGATCGTACGTTCTTTTAACCGAATCGACCACGAAGAACACCGTCGAATAAGGCAGTATAGAACCGCGTTTAATTGGTGACGATTTTCATGTATGCACAAAGGACGTGGGTCGTTTAATGACCTACATATTCTCGCTTTTCTTATTAACTTCCATTTTACTGTAGGTGTTTTATTTGATTTTTTAGATGCCAGAAGTATTTTGAGAGATGTTTGATTTTTATATTTATTTATCCTAAATGAAGTTTGATGTTGGTTGAATCTTTTTTTGAACTCATGGCTAGTGCAACCTATATATATTTTTATGTTTTCAGGACTTTCAATCGAAGAGATATTGCATTGGTATACTAATGATTCAGTGCGACATTTATTTTGTAGAGGGCAATTATGAGGGTTTCTACAGTTACATAGTTTTTGTTTATTTATCTATCAGTAAACGAATTAGTACACATTCAGCAAATGACAAGATTTTCGATGAGCATATCAATTCCTATAACAAGGAGAGTGGCTACAAAAACCCAAAACTAACTTATATAAAAAATGAAAATGGAAAGCATAGAAAAAACAGATGTAGAAAAATTATTTGCTATACTCCCCCATACAAACAAATGGTAAAGAACAAATTAGGACAAAAATTCCTCGCATTAATAGTCAAGCATTTTCCTAGTGAAAGTAAACTAAGTACTATTTTCAATAAAAACACACTAAAATTGAGTTACAGCTGTACAGAAAACTTAGAAAAAATTATTAAGAACCATAATGCTAATATCTTAAATAAACTCTTATACCAAAACCAAAAAAATTTAGACAATGGAAAAATAAAGATAAAAACAGATAAAATCAGTGAAATTAAGTAACTATTTTTGCCGTCATTGTCATAAATTTTAACTAAGTAATATTTAAATAAAAATAATTCTACATACTAAATAGACTGTTTCATGCTAAACACAATCATCAGGCCTGATAAAGTTTATTGTGTTGTTAATAACTGAGGGACAATGTGCAAAATTTTAACATGAGACGCACTGAAATCGAGAGCCCATTCACGTCCACACGCAAAAAGCTACCACGCTGAAATATTGCAAAGAGACCGCCCCAAACAACGGCGGCACAGTTCACAGTAAGCACTAAATTATAACTATTTTTTGGGGGGGGGCGGGTATGTGTGTGTAACAATCTCCTTCTTTCCCAGACTCTGATATTACAAATTCAATCTTCGAACATTCAAGCATTACTCAGATTGACGAGACATATTTTTTTTTACAATATTTACATTAGTCGGACTATTGTCCTCATCTTTGTCGCCATATTTATTACAACATTTCGGCCGTTGTACGCTCCAGCCTTCTTCAGGTGGTTAGAATGTCGAACTGAACCCTTTATTTCGATCGAAATAAAGGGTTCAGTTCGAAATTCCAACCACCTGAAGAAGGCCGGAGCGTACAACAGGCGAAAGGTTGTGACAAATATGGCGACAAAAATGAGGACAATAGTCCGACTAATGTAAATACTGTACATAATGCCTCATCTCAGAAATATAGACAGACACTGAGATTTTTTTTCCACGGTAGGTTGCCATTTCTTGCTGCGGTGAACCAGTTGCCATCCAAGTCTATAGAACCCGCTCTGCCCTGCTTTTTACCCATAGCTGTGGGTGGGGGGGGAGAAGAAGAGGATCCATGCCTTTCTCAAGATTATTAGCACGTAAGTGAATGTAATGGATTCGACTGGATTTCGAACTCGGCCCTCCGATTCCTCAATCCGAGCCACTATCACTTACTCCACCATTTCTCAGATCCAACGGTTCAGAGCTTAATCTAACAATTAGGAAATTTTCCTGTGACACGATTTGGACAGTTTTGTTGTTACAGCGGTTACGTTCTTTGTATTTGGGGGTTGCCCACTTGAATCACGGGTGTCACTCAGAACCACCCGATTTCTTCATAGCAGGTTAAATCCTAAACCGTTTTTCATACAGTTTAGTACTTTTACTAAACTCTACACAATACTTGATTTTAATCGGTTGCTCTAGATAACTTTAATTAATTTTGCGCTAACCGTATAAAAGGAGCACGTGCAACATACGCTACTTCTCGACCACGAATGTCTCATCTAGTCTGCATCTTGAGGATGCAAATGTTGAAAGCGATCTGGATGTACTCGTGTTCAAATATTTAACTGACTCAGTAACCCAACGACACTCTGTTGTCTTAACGGAAATTAAATTGTCACACATCGATTAAATCTTACATATAATAATGCCTATCTAGGATCTTGGAAATCATGGAAAATTAAGTTATTTTCTCTTTCTTTCCAAGCACCCTAATACCCGTAATTTTATTATAATAATAATTATCATTTAAAAACGGTTCTTACTGCATAGGTAATCTACAATTGAAAATGTCATGATAGGATATTTCAAACCGGTCGCATCTGTTATTTACCTGTTACACACACACACGCACACACACACACACACACACACACACACATATATATATATATAGAGAGAGATAGATAGATAGATAGATAGATAGATAGATAGATAGATAGATAGATAGATAGATAGATGTGAATAGACTGAGATAAACAAATAGATGATGTAGAAAATAAGATAGATGTGAACAGACTGAAATAGAAAAAGAATGTAGAGATAAGATAGATGGATAGATAGATATGAACAGAGTGAGATAGATAGATAGATAGATAGATAGATAGATAGATAGATAGATAGAAACACACTGTGACAGATAAATAGAAACAGACTGTGATAGATAGATAGATATGAACAAACTGAGATAGATAGATAGATAGAAACAGACTGTGATAGATAGATAGATAGATAGATAGATAGATATGAACAGACTGAGATAGATAGATAGATAGATAGATAGATAGATAGATAGATAGATAAAAACACACTGTGATAGACAAATAGAAACAGACTGTGATAGATAGATAGATACATAGATAGATAGATATGAACAGACTGAGATAGATAGATAGATAGATAGATAGATAAAAACACACTGTGATAGACAAATAGAAACAGACTGTGATAGATAGATAGATAGATAGATAGATAGATAGATAGATATGAACAGACTGAGATAGATAGATAGATAGATAGATAGATAGATAGATAGATAGATAGAAAGAAACAGACTGTGATAGATAAATAGAAACAGACTGTGATAGAAAGAAAGAAAGAAAGAAAGAAAGAAAGAAAGAAAAAAAGAAAGAAAGAAAAAAAGAAAGAGACTTTGATGCAATAGTGATGCAATAGATAACGACTCGGACTGCAAAACTGAAGTCAAATTGGTTACATTCACCTACATGACCTTCTTTCTTGGATTTATATTGCACTTAGTAAGCGTGTAGTATGTATAGTAGGATTGTACTTCGCTTTGGTACAGGGTCTTTGATCTTTTTTTCTTTTGGGGCATAGCAGAATTCGTAGTATCCCCGATCTTGATCTATGTATATATATATATATATATATATATATATATATATATATATATATATATATATATATATATAGTAGGCATTCAGATTCCAATTATTTTTAAAAATATTTAACCCCAAGCAAGGCCACAAATGCGAAAATTACTAAGAGTCGACGAACCTAAGAAAACGTTACTGGGGAGAGAAGACAATAAAATGAAAAGATTTATGGAGATAGAAGATTTTGATTGAGGCTGTATTCAAAGTTTTAAAGATTATAGTTAATAGGAAAGAAAGAATTACGAATGAGATTTCCATAGGCGGGAATTGCGAGAGAAGACACTTAGTTAACCTGTCCTTAAAAATATCGTTGTTAAGGTTAATTAATGTTAAGGAGATGATAAGTAGGTGATGATTTTTAAGAGATTTAAGACATGCTTTTTTATTTATTAAACTTTACCTATTTCTACAGGACATTTGCTTTGCACGATTGTATACATTTTTCTAGGTGTTCGTTACGTGTCCATATTTCTTTTTAGCCATTTCACCACAAGCAATATGATAATGCCACTAAGACGAAAGGGTCTACTGGGAGTGAAAGAGGATGAGAAGAATTTAGGACAAGGAATCGGAACCCCAATCCTAAACAGAAAACAAAGTATAAACCTCTACTCCTAAAAAAAAAACAAACAAACAAAAAAAAACGAGGAGAGTGTGAGACAGGCGAAAGGTCGAAATTATACTTTCTGTATTTTACTCATTTTCCTTCTCTTATTTTGATACGCCCTCCCATGATACTGATAATTTCTTGGAACTTTCTCTGGCATTTTCCATATTCTAGTGTGTTATAAAAACTATCTATTTCGTATTCTGTGCTTTCTGGCGTAGATACATATACCATTATGGTCGCCATCTTGAATGGCTTCTCTTCCTGTTTCCCCAGTAGAAATCTGTCTGACAGTTTCCAGTACCCACAAACATACATCCGCTTGTTTTTATCTAATATTAGTCCAACGCCACTTGTATTTTTTTCTCTCTCCTCTTGCTTATAAGATATTGCGAACTTTGCTTATAAAGTTTCATACAGTTTTTTTCATCTTGTTCCACATGTTCCCTGGATGCTGATATTAACTCTTACCATTTCCAGTTTTTTTTTTTCATTTTTTTATTTTTTTACATTTTCTAACTTTCCGAATTACTACAGTGTCCTAACAAGATCATATCCTGACTCTGAAATTGTATTTACTATTTATTTTTTTTCTCTTTAGTTGGAGTAAATAATTTTGCTTATCGAACGGTTTACACATCTTCTTAGTCTTTTGAAAAGGAATAGACATTTATCCCTTGTTTCTAGTTTCCGATGACGTTCCCGATTCCTTCTACTCTATATTTCTAATGTCTCCACCTGGAAACTGAACCTTACTAATTATTATTTATTTTTTCCTCCTCAATAGGTGGAGTTAGGTCCGACTATTGCACAGTTTACAAAACCTCCCGGGTGTTTTGAACAGAATTAGCGGGTTACCCCTTGTTTTCTGTTTACGATTGGGTTTACAATTCCTTCTAAAGTCTACATCAACTCTCTACATCTAACGTCTCCGCCAGAACGCTAAAATTTTATTTATTATTTTTCCTTCCTCAATAGGATTAGATGGATTGGCTTATCACCTGGTTCACACTCTACCTCGGTCTTTTCAACAGTAGAAGTTTATCCCTTGTTTTCTGTATAGGACTGGATTTCCACTTCTTTTTAAATTATAATTCAACTCTATATTTTTTTTTTATTTGCATTCCTTCCCGTTTCTTTAGTAGAAATTCTGTATGTAGAAATCTGTCTGACAATTGTCAGTACCCACAAACACACTTCCGCTTGTATTTATCTAATATTAGTCCAAACACGCCTTGTATTTAAAAAAAAAAAAATTAAGATGGCGATTGACGCAGCATTCAAATTTTTAAACATTATAGTTAACAGGAAAGAAAGAATTCGAATGAGATTCCCATAGGCGAGTAGTGCGAGAGAAGAAATTCTTAGTATATAACTTGCCTATCTAGTAATGCCTTTACATTCAGGGAGTTGAGGTGGCAAAGAGGAAAGCTCACCATTACAATTGCCATGAAAATATTTATATAAAGTGACAGGAATCTACGTTACCGCGGTGGAAAAGTGATTGAGACCGAGATACCAGATCAGAACCAATAAAATTGCAGATTCAGCTTTGGATTTCCTTAACAACTGTGTACTGTAGAAGACACTCAAAAAATCTCTGAAGACCTGTCATATTTCTTGACTCTTATGATTTTCGATTATCATCTGTCTATACCAGCCATTCTCAACCTCCGTCCACGAAATATTGTCAAGGTATGCATATATATATATATATATATATATATATAAAGGTATTGGTGTATACGGAATGGATTCCAAAATGTTATAAAATCACTGCAAAAATAGCCATTTTGTTTCAACACCTCAGGTGTCTTATCAAGTGATGGTGTTGAATGTAGAATAAAGGCTTTTAAAAGGTTCAAATTAATTAACCACTTCTCGCTAGGGGAAACGCTGTTACATAAGCTGGAATGACCAATCAAAATACAAGTATACGAGAATTCAAAAAACTTAACAACGAACTAAGATTATAATGACTATTTAATGCCTTAATGTTGGGGTTAGACTAAAATAGAATTTATTCTAACTAATAAGTATTAAATTATACGATAAAATTGGAAATTAAAAATTACCGATTTTAAAATTTAAATTTTATCTCTGTTAAGTTTTAAAATTATAAAATTACTGAGAAAAAAAGAAAAAATACATATGTTACTCAATTTATTTTGTTTTTATTGAAATTAAGTTGGAATGAACGTTAAGATCGACTGTTATTCTGAGCGTCTTGACAACATAGATACATTTGAATTCTAAATATATGTAGGGGAGGATGACATCTTGCAATAGACAATACATACACAATCAGATTATAATATATAAGCACACAGACATATTTAGATATATACACACACAAAAAGTGACGAAACAGGAAATATCTCCACAACCCTTTACAAAAAACAAAAAAAAAACAAAAAAAACCATACATACACAATGAAAGGTGCATCCAATTTACCATACACACAGACACCGATAAGGACACGTACATACACCCACACACATTGACATAGACATTCCGTTACAACAGCCAAGAACTATTTAAGATTGAAAGTGTTATTAAACGAATTCTAACCACTTATTAAAATATAACATATGGGCAAATATATATATATATAAATGGTCTAATAGAACAGAGAAACAAATAATAGGGAAAGGAAGAACATTAAAACAGATATATACGTATAAAAATAACACCATCTAATATATAAAAACGAAAATTCCAAACACACAAATATATATAAAAATATAATATATATGTGTGTGTGCGTGTGTGCGTAGTAATGGTACAGCATAAATATATGAATGAATAAATATGAGCTCATTATCCCACATTAGCTAAAAAGGCTTTATCAGATTTATTGCAAGTTTCTACTTCTTATTTATGTGAATTAAGCCATTTTCCTCTAACAAAAATAAGCAAGGAGAAAGACTACATTCAACCGAAAAAGAAATAAGGGTCTGCTTATAGCAAATTTGACCAAACATTGAAGAAATCACGAGAAAAACACAAGGCAGAGGTTTCACACTAAATAAACTGCACAAATAGTTAAATAGAAACATTGAAATAAAGTTCATATTTATGGGTGTATTTTTTTAAAAATCTATGATTTTATTTCTTAATATTTACATATATCCCCTTTAAAAATATTGCTAAGAGTGTCGTGATATTTTCATTTGCGCCTACGTGTGCCGTTGATTAAAAAGGTCGAGAAACACTGATCTATACAATGTTATATATCTTATATAAAAAGCAGAAGAGTGTATAGTGTAAAATAGCCCATTTTATAATCGGGGATATACTCGCCTTATCTAACATGCGCCATAAAAAGCAGAAGAGTGTATAGTGTAAAATAGCCCATTTTATACCGGGGGATATACTCACCTTATCTAACATGCGCCATAAAAAGCAGAAGAGTATATAGTGTAAAATAGTTCATTTTATAGTCGGGGATATACTCGCCTTATCTAACATGCGCCATAAAAAGCAGAAGAGTATATAGTGTAAAATAGTTCATTTTATAGTCGGGGATATACTCGCCTTATCTAACATGCGCCATAAAAAGGAGAAGAGTGTATACTGTAAAATAGCCCATTTTATAATAGGGGATATACTCGCCTAATCTAACATGCGCCAGGTATAACGCAACCTAACATAGAATAACTCTAGACCAGGCTTTTTCAAGCAGTGGGTCTTGACCCTTCAGTGGGTCGCGGGATAAATAAAATGGGTCGAAACGGAAAAGGAAGAAAGAAAAACAGAATACGCAAGTGAGAGCAAAAAAGACGTGGTATCGCAATATTTACAACAGCATGCCTGTCCTCATTTGCAATTTAGGAAAATTCTTATTGAAAATACATCTATACTTTTCCATAAACTAAACATCCTTGAAGCTATCTATATTAAAAAATATTGAAACCAACCCTTAATAAAATTAATTAGGAATACTGCTGTTTTAAAATGTTTACAATCTATAGTTTAAATTATCTAGGTTTTAACTATTAGGTTTTTTAAATAAAAATGACAAAAAACATATGAACATTTAAAAACTTACTTACCTCCCTTGACGTTTACATCTTAAAATTTAAATCGTGCAGTACATAACCTTAGCGTTTTTCAGTACACTGTTAAAAAAGTTAACTTTTAGATGAACACAAAAATGTTGTCTTAGAAAAAAATAACAAAACTCTGATGGCGACATTGTTTTACTTTTGAAAATACTCGCAATAAATTAATATGTATCAACATGGTAATTTTCTTTCTTCCATTAATAAGGATATTAAGAAGCTTTTCCGTGAATATGAAAGGATCCTATTGAAGATAAGTAGACGAAACTTGCCTACATTCTTCAAGAAGGCATATATATATATATATATATATATATATATATATAATTTTGACTTACCCTCGTGTGTGCGTATATATATATATATATATATATATATATATATATATTTTTAAATATCACACAATATTTATAATAACAGAGTTAAAAATTTTCTAGTAATTGTTGTCAATCCGTATTTTGTCCCTCACCAGTAACACAACCCCGAGTTTCCCTTTCACACACACACACACACACACACACACACACACACACACACACACATGTATATATATGTGTGTGTGTGTGTTTTGTGTGTGTGTGAAACTGAAGTTGTGTTACCGGTGAGGGACAAAATACGGATTGACAACAATTACTAGAAAATTTTTTAGCTCTGTTATTATAAATATTGTGCGATACTTATATATATATATATATATATATATATATATATATATATATATATATATATATATATATATACGCAC